ACGAGGCCGGCGAAACATTTGAGAATGTATCAAGTCCACGGTCGGATGCGGGAAATCATGACAACTACTATTGCATGCGGCTTCAGACTCGGTGCGTTCTACATAGTCTCCCTGAACACAAGACCAAGTTGCGACAAGGAGGTCAACCCACTTCTTAACACGAAAAGTTTATAAAACCATGTTTGAACATCCTTAATAAGAAAATTTAGCTCCCTATAGTTTTCTCAATAATTCATATAAAAAAGATCCGAAATTTACGATACTCCATTATTACTCAGGATTTTTATATTCTATAGTATACAAAATTCATTGTTAATATTTTAATAAGTTTTATCAGTATTCATGATTCTTTAAAGCTAGTGTATAGGCTTCCTCTTAAAAGTTTTCTATGCCAAATACATTAACCTGATTTAATCGAATTCGGAGCATAAATGATACTATGATTTAAGAGACAAAGCGTATCCATCTGGATTAAGTAAGATTTCTGATTTAATTGCCTGGATTCCGGGCAGGTTCGGCAATGAACAAAGCCAAAAAGTATCTCTAAATTATTTCAATCATCTTATAAGGAGTATTAGTTCTCTATGTCCTTGGTTAACCTGAGCATATGCCAATTTAAGGAATACTCGAGGATAAATACATATTTATAAATGAGTTATATAAATAGTATAAATTGATACACTTGGTGTGGAATACGCATTTTATGCTTCCAATATATGTCTGTGTTGCTGGCTCTTGTATTAACTCTGCGAATTAATTAATCCAGTTTACTTAGTCCAGTGGCCTACCCGCCCATCATCAGGTTACAGGAATGGAAATTATTATCAAGTGTTCTACTGCGAAGAATGGTGAATAAGCAATATAATACGAACAAATTTATGGGGAGTTGTGAGCCATATGCCCCACTTCTGTGTGCCTATCTGCGTGTTTTAGTAATGTATGTACGCCCAATTTTGGTCGAATAGGTAGAATTTCAATTTTACCAAAACGCTGTGCTGACTGGAAGAGCCAGGCAGACGAAGGTGCCTAGCTGGTCATCTGAGCCGAGTTTATATTGAAAAGTATTCCTGAAGACAAGAATCATTTTCGCTGAATTCCAGCTGAAGGAAAGCCGGAAAAAGCAAGTTCTCAGACCAAATGCTTCAAACCACCCAAGCTTTAACTTCATGGAGTTGGGAGGCTAGCATGCCTATCCCTCTGCCTCTCCTGCTCACAGCGGGTCGAGTGATGCTAGTAGTTATAGCAGTGGTAGTTGTATTCGATCAGCATAGTGAAACTGTGCTTTGCAATCCCAATGATCCAGATTCGGTTGCCAGTGAGGAGGAAGATCGACCCAGCAACGGCAATATTCAGTTACTATCTGACGATGAACAGGGCAGGGAACCTGACCCCAAACCTAATTCGGATCCAACAAACGATGATGAGCATTCGGAGCATAATGGAAAAAATGGGAATGAGCCTACAAAGCCACCAGGGCATAGGCTTCGTTCGGTCTATCGGGGTCATCCTGTATACACAACTCAGGAGCAGAGAAACAATATATATGACGCTTTGGACATCTTGACCGGCATAGTAGAAGACTCTATACAGCGCAGAAATGCATCAAGGACTCCAGAAAATAGGGTAGCAAACTTCTTTAGCATAGACTGGACCGACCAAACTAGCACTAAACTCTGGCCCTCTTCAAAATGAGCCATCGACAGATTCCCTATAATTAGAAACTACGCTTACTTTACACAATTCGAAAGCTTTCAAGTGATGGAATAACAGCCATATTCCTGTCCAAACTCAGCACACCTTATCTCAGGTCGAAAAGTTATTAGTCACTTTTCTTGATTAAATACGTGGCAAGTCTTCTCAATTTTTTCACTTTACCTTTTATTCATAGAATTTTAGCTTCAGAAACTATGTTGTAATTGTACTTTCTAAATTAAGGCCTATCCTCTTACCCAAACGAGGCTTTGAAATCCCAGAGGAAACTTGCTATTCTCAATTTTCCGCCTTACTTATAGCGGAAACTGTAGAGTGCCTGTACAATGACTTTCTTTACCAGCACTATTTCTTGTTACACATATACTTTCATATCTGTGGCGTTTGCCTCAAAATATATTAATACTATAGTGTATATTTATACACACACATACACATATATATATA